GGGGTCGATATGCAGCATTTTAGTTAAATATTACTTTAAATAGTAAAATCTAACTACTTCTATGGAGGCTTTCATAGTTCTGCTTTTGTTAAAAATTATCGCTTTTTATTTGTTCGCTCGAGGCACATACAAGGTTTGTGTGCAATTTAATAACGAAACATATGCGCCCAATAGGACATTGAAACTAGAAATAGCAAGGAAATCACGAACCGTTATACTCATTTCGTTGCAAGCAACTTTTTCTTGAGGTTTTATGTTCATATGATTGGGGGGATTGGGGAGAGCGAACTTATAGTGCGCTTTGATTACATAATACCACTACTAACTATTTAATAATCTGCTACTAAATTTTTTTGGACTTTTTACCAATCTATGCATATATCAACGAAAATCCATGCCGATGACATTTTCTTTTGGATTTGGAAAACATGGCATGAATCGCTCCCAGCAGTCCGACTGGGTAAATATGTATGTACATATGGGCACGTGCATTGTCGTATAATAAAACTGAAAATTATGATTGCAAAATTGACGCTTGATTGCATTGCCGGAGTGTATTGTGTTTTGTGGCAAAACAGAAATACTCAAATTGGCATTCAATTGGTTGATAAGTAGTGTATAGACGGCTGAGGTGTACGCCTTGAGGCTGTCGGTGGTGATTGCTTTTACTTGATTGGTTCCATTAATAATTTTGTACCTCATGTAATTTTACCGCAAGCGAAAATTGTTTGATTATATTTGGTAAATGCTACTAAGCAAAAATGTGTGGTTGATGCATTTTTGTTTAAAATGTGATGAAAATCGCCCCTCTTCTTGTATCGTCTTGTAATGCTTCATTGTTGCAATATTTTGTGACCCACGTTTCAAAACTCTGACATCAATAACAGGGCAATTCTGGAAACTGTGTTTCAACTCACCACAGTCTTTCGAAAGACAAAAGTCTAATTGAAAGATCCGCTAACGAGGAGGTCTAAGCGTTATGCTGTTCGTCTTTTAGCAATAATTTTTTTTTTAACTCAATTAAATTAAAAAACATATATCAATATATTTTTCGTTTTAAAACAATAAAAATTAATAAAACAAAATAAATTAGAAAAAACTTAATACGAAAATAAGGAAATAGTACTTAAATTTTAAATTAGAATAAAATTAATTTATTAAAAAAAGACAAAAAAAAATTAAAAATTAAATGAAACAAAAAACATATATTTTTTCCTTTTGAAATAATAAAATCTAAAAAATCAAAAGAAAATTAAATTAAGAAAAGAATTAAATTCAAAAAGGAAAAAATGAATTAAATTCTAAAGAGTAAATGAAATTTAAAAAAAATATTTTTCTTTTTTACACAATAAAATCTAAAAATTTAAAAAATTTAACTGAAAAACGGAACGATTTTTTTTGATGAAAAAATAAAATAAGTTCCTAAAAATTAAATCAAATTAAAAAAATATTCTTTTTAAAACAATAACAACCAAACCATTAAAGAACATTAAATTAAGAAAAAAGTTTAATTAAAAAGCAAAAGGAATACAAAAAATTGGTTTCTTAAAATTAAATTCAATTAAAAAATATGTATTTCCTTTAAAAAATAAAAAAACTCTATAAAATTGAATTGGAAAAAAAAAAAAAAAAGTAGAGTAAAAAATATTCCGCTTCGGGAGACTCGAACTCGGATCTCTCGATTGCTTTGCCCACGCGTCCATTGCGACTGTTGTCGTGTACAAGTGCTTTCTCACAAAATAGCTATTCACCACGAGTGGTGAATGAGAGAGAGCTTTTTTTCTCAGACTTTTGTGGTAGAATAACAATAGTCTTTGGAACTATTTGGAAATCTTTCTTTCATTTCTCTTACGAAAAACTGTTTACTATATTAACTAGAATTGCACTGTAAATCTAAAAATTGTTTAATGTTAAAATGTTAAAGAGGGAGCTCTCCAGAATATTACTTTGAAGAAATCGCCAACGGCTCTGATGGAGAAATATTTATAGCTAGCCCTTATACCCAGACACGAAGATCCTTTAATTAGGTGTAAGCATAGTCGCAAAGAATTTCCACATTTGTTAACAGTGGGAATGAAGTATCTCTGTGCACCACCTTCCACAGTGAACTTCTAAAGAGTATTTAGTGCATCGGGTAGCGCTTATGTGGAAAATAGAAATAGGCTGTCACCCGATAATGCGGTAATGCTTATTTTCATAATGGAAAATATATACATAATTTTTTAACTCTAATTACTAATTGTTAGTAATAAATTTGATTATAAAAGTAAATAAATATTCTGAACTAGATTTTTAAATTGTATCTTCTGTAATTGAAATCCGGAAAGCCGGCCGGATTTTAGCCTGTATCTAGCCAGATAGTCGGATAACAGAAAAACCTCGGGACAAGCCGGATACCCGGCACATCCCTAGTATTTTCTTATGAGTTCTAACGTTTCAAGAATATTTCACAAATACTCGCCTACGTTATGTAGCTGGTATGCAAAAAATAATAGATTTGTGTGCAAATACGAAATTCCACACATTAAGCGACTTTTCTTCGTGACAGCCACTTAAATATTTTACTGCCACCAAAAAGTTGGGTCATCAATTTCTTTGTACGCATAACTTCAACAAACAAGTCGGCTTACTGTCAGCAGGTCGTTGGCTGCAGTTGACGGCGATGAAAATCTAGCCGCTGTAATACTCCACACCAGCAAAATATCACAATACGCGTCAAGGTATTGATAGGCGCGTGTGCTAGGCGTTTTCCTTTTAAATACCTGTCAAAATTTGTTGACTAACAAATAAAAAGCGATGCGCGCATCTGAGCTGATGCTTATACAAAGCATGTCGAACAACAAGTAAAAAATATTAAATAAACCTTAGCTCAATGTTTGACTACAAGTTGAGGGATGTCAAATTTTGAAGGCTTTTTAACTTCACGGCAGCCAGACCTATTTTTTCGCAAATTCTTAACAGTAAATCAGTTGAATTTTTTCAATAAAATTTAGGGCTTCAGTGTCGATGATTTGTATTACATAAAAGTCATGTGCTTGTCGTAATGCTTGTTTGCGCCGAAGATTTGTGTTTGTCACGCAATTACATGGACGTCACGTATACGCAGTGTTGGCGTTGGTAGCAATGCGTGGAGCTTGCTGGCAAACAACACTCATGCAAAGCAGGCATTAAATCACTTGTACCAGATTGTTTTTAATGTTTGAATGTGACTTCGATTGAAGATGTAAGGGTATTAACTATGCAAAACCGGTGAGCTTTGCAAGAAAATATTGAATAGTGTTCTTGAATTGAATTCTGTGATAGGGTGTTTTTCAATAAAATACCGAAAAAGGGCGTTCTTCATCAAAATCTGAAGTACGGCCTTCTTGAAATGTTTTTTGAGATAATGCGTTTTCTAACTGGCTACCGAGATAGGTCGATATTTTACTCAGGTGTCGCATTGGAATTCAGTTATTAATACAAAAACAATAGAAATGACTGTGCACGGAGTCCACAGACTCATTAACTGCTCGGAGAGACTCTAAACAATGAGTTAGTAATTAATAAATGGCAATCACAATATTTCAGGTTGGGATGCAAATAATTTTTTGAAAACTTCTTTTATCCATCGTCAACCATACTCTCTTTTCTCATTAAAAATATGATTAAGTTAAAAAAAAGTGTAGTCATTTAGCAGTCCAACTAAACTCACAAGTCAAAATACTCGACATTGCGCAAACCTATTTAATTGTAGCAAGTTGTTATTAAGTTATGAGCATACTTGTTGCACTTTGTCTACGTTGCCACACAAATAATATAATTAAAGTCAGTTGCAGTCTTTGTACAGTAACATGAAGTGCTTAAAAAATATGTAATTTGGGATGAAAAACTTCAGCAAGTTATGTAATTTTTTTCTGTTAATTTATTTTTTATTAATTTTTTTGCTCATTACCTAACCTTAAAAAACCACACTCATAAAAACCCAAATTTCATACTGTGCGAAAAATGTAAGAAAACACTGCAAGTGTCACCAAAATTTCCACCATTTTAATTATAATCTCAATAATAAGATGCAAGCTCTAAGTATCTAGGACTTACCGTCGATTTTTGGCATTTTCTCGGAGCAGCAAAAAAAGGGCCCCCAACAAACCAAGGAAATTTCAACGTCGAAAAGCTGCAATCAAAACAGACGGCCAATGGATTCGGCGTCCGACCCTCACACCTGCTGTGAGAGAACACTCTTCAACAAACCGACTTGCGCGATCAGTGGAACCACATTTCCCGCTCATTATTGGTACGATGAGGAGTGTGAGAAAATGCTTGAAATTCTGGCCGACAGAAAAAACACCCGAAATTTTTAGCAGAGAGTTGAGCGACTTACGGAAGGTTTCAAGACTCTTGTAGGAACAACCATGGTGACCTAGTGACCGATGTCCAGAACGTACTCAGATTATGGAGAGAACACTTTTCGATCCTTTTGAATGGCAGATGCACTGAAAGAAGTGGAGAAGACGAACCCGAGGTCCCAGTCGATGACGATGGAGTCGATATCCGAGCGCCTGACTATAACGAAAAGTGCCATAGCGGCTTGAGCTGACGGCCTGTCAGCTGAGCTATCTAATTACGATGGCAAGGAGGTAATAAGGTGCATGCCCGACGACTGGAATTCAAGTGCGCTCTGCCAAATCCACAAGAAAGGCGACCCCGCCAACTACCGCGGGATCAGCGTTTTAAGCATAGGTTGCAAGGTAGGGGAACGGTGCATGACGGTAGGAAGTTTAGTTTGGGTTAAAGTCTCACACTCACGGGGTTAGGCTTTCGATGCTTCCTCCTCGTAAAATAAACATGCTCAGTAAAAAGTTAACAATTTAAGTCGACGAATAGTTTATATCAACTTTTGTGAACATCTGTTTATTTGTTTTTTGTTCAACATATTTACCTCTATTGGTTACAATAGTTTTAAGGTATAATAAATAATTTTTTAGTAAGTTATTGGTTTTGATTTTTTTTTTGTATTATATTGAGCCCCACTCTTCCCCGTGCTCAGATAAAGAATCTTCTCCATCGTCCACAATGGTGTCAAAAAGATACTGAATATCCGCCTCGTCTTCTGCAGCACCCAATATGTAAAAAAAAGACATTCAAAATTTTTGTTTATCAAAATATTTCATTATGTTATCTTCTGTTACTTTTTATATGGAGTGAAAGATATTTAAGACTGTCGTTGTATGTATTTTGAAGCCTATTTCTTCTGTGAATTTACATACTTGAATTTTCGCGGTTAATATATTAACATTCTTAATTGACTAGCCCTCAAACAGTATTGATTTGAACTCATACCCCGTACCCTGGTTATGTGTTTACGTGGTATATTTTTGGTTATATGTTCTACGGTTAAGTTAATTTCACAGAAATTACTCATACGACATGTCAAACTTGAAGAGCCTGGCACTAAATTTTTATTTTTACAAAACCAACTGCAGAACTATTAGCTATTCCGGCTGCTATTGTTGTGAACAAAAATAAATATTATTCTAGCTGTCAGTTATAAATCAGTAAATAAATCAAAAACAAAATCAAAAAATTTAACAAACATAACAAATGAGTCTTTAGGCGGCTAAGGAGATCTGATTTCGTACAAGCTGATGTGCAACAATTGGCTATTGAATTGAAATTGGCATTCGCATTGTGAAGCAGCGACGCGTACTGCCACTTCAGAATAACTAACAATGCTTACTTAGCTTTGTTTAAGTTGCCAATGGCCATTGATATTTACAGTTATTGTGAATTATTGAGAGCGCAATTGTGTTGAGGGCAAAAGTTGTGCTGCGACATGAACACGTACGCACAAATATATGCATGTATGTACATAGACAAAATTAAAAAAAAAATGAGAATATCAGTGGTTATTTTTTTATTAAGTGGAACGGCAAAATATGGACAAAGTTATCATGAAAATTTTAAATCAAAATTTATGATTTTTTCAGGCCTTAGCTTAGTACTATTGATCATTTCTGGAAATTAACGCTGCTGTCGCTCAACATATTAATATTTTAATATGCTCACTCTATACAGATTTAAGCTTCAATTTCGTTTTGAAAAATTTAGGAACTTAATTTGGTGTTCATACCGCTCCCTCCATTGCTCGGTGAACGAATAATACGAAGTTTTCTCAAGTTCTCAAACATGAATGCTTAGGTTTCAGGCTGGGACACTGGACCATTGGCCAAAAGACCGACATATTTTGAGCCTCATAAAGAAAGGCCCGGGGACCGAAGAAACAACAAACAATTTTTATGGGTTATTTCTTAGACTAATTTGACAGCTTAGGGAAAACGCCAAGAGAGGGTCTGATAAGATCAATACATTTTTATGTGGACAAGTCTAGGGAAATCCTCTCTGAGGCAGACTTTCGATTCTCTACCTTGCAGCCTTGAATCCTTTGATAATCTACCCGATATTGATATGCAGTCTTGTAGCCAATTAAATTTTAGTATAACAAAGTGCAAGTTTCAAGCGGCTGAAAAATTGCGTTGATTTTTAATATTTTTTATGCTCACGTCTTTTTTCACTTTTTTCTTACGAAAGAAAATGCGAAAAACCGTTTTCAAAGAAAAAAAATATATATATATAAATTAACGCCAGTTTTGCAATCACTTAAAACTTGCACTTTATTATATCAGAATTTAATGGGCTACAAAACTGCGTGCTCAAAAAATTAAAAAAAAATTAAAAAAAAAAATTGTAAATTTGTATTATACTCATTTTACTCAACTTTGGTGTAAAAAAAAATCATAACTCAAATTATTGTAGAGTGCACCCCATAATACTATACTTCAATATTGCGCAATACTCAGAGCTACTATTGTGACTTTTTTAAATTTTTTTTTGGATTGGCATATCTTCAAAACCTTTTTTTTATCAAAAAATTTGTATGTGAAAATTTTTTCAAGAAAAAAAATGTTTAAAATATTTCTTTTCATAGAGAATTTTTATGTGTGTAATTTTTTCAAATTTTTTCCTCGCCCCGTTCTCGAGATATTTGGAAAACTATTAAATCGATTTGTTTTTGTTTTTGTGCTGTAAAGTTTTTAAAAATGTATTAATCAAACTCAAATTTCATATTTATATGTATATTATTTAGGTTAATTCATCAACCCTAAAAATCTGAAACAAATAAAACACATGAGCGTGAACCCCGTCCGTTTTTGGCGCAAGCAATACGGCGTCTAGTCATGCAAAAAATTTGAAAGTTTTTCTGTGTTTCAAAGCTTTGTAATTATGAGCAAATTTAGTAAATAAATATCCGAAAACAAAAAAAAAATCAAATCATCTAAAAATGTTTGTTTTTAATAAAAATTCTCACCGTGTCATAATTATAAGCGCGCCTCATATCGACGGGTTCTAGGAATTTATCTTTTTGTTATTTAATTTTAGCTATTTTTTTATACTTTAATATTTTATATTTTATTCTTTTTTTATATTTTATTCTTTAATAAAGACTGAATAAATTCAAGTTTCAAACTTTGTACAGCATTAAATCAAAATCAACAAACTTTTGTTAAAATGTCGAGGTTTTTGTTTAGATTTCTTAGAAAGATTTTGAGTGTGCAGTTTTATAGCCCACTCATCAGTAATTTTTTACATGGAGAGCAATGAGCAACAAAATACTTGCCAAAAATCAACCGTGAGCCCCAAAAATTGCAATTGAATGGGCTACAAAACTGTACACTTAAAAGATTCGAATTAAAAAGCTCCAAATTTTTACATACGGGTGAAGCAAATAAAAAAATTTTTAAAAATTCACCAGCAGATTTGGGCAGATGAATTTTCTTTTATTCAGTAATTAGTCGTTTTGTAAATCTAAGGCAGATTCCGAAAGCGTCCTATTGCTCTTTCATTTAACATCTCAAATTTACAAAATTTATTTGCATATTTTATTATTATTTTGCAAAATTTTGTACGTATTTTATTAACCTTCAGACGCAAATTCCATTTGGTTTTGCTGTAACTATTTTTGCACGTTCATATCTTTTCCTTTTGAATCTACAATAATATTGTGTTTGGGCGAAGATCACATTCCGTGTGTAAATAAAGAGGGAACTTAGGGTACAAGCCGTTGCTATAAACGGTTTTCGCTTCTCAGAAGGTCCCCTTAGCCAACTCAATGATGAAAAAAAGCCCTATTTGTTTTTTTTCGAATTCTGACCGCATTTTGGAATTTCGAATGCACTGTGCGATTCCAGTTAATTATATGCATATAACAACCGTCTCTGTTTATTTTCCTGCAATACCTTAAAATTCCGTTTAAATCGTCAGTCATAGACTGAATACCTCACACTAGATCGAAACTATCTACAAATGTATGTATGTATGTATGTATGTACATAAACACTTTGCCAATTACTTTTTGCAAATTCAGTAACCGCAGTACTTATACGCCATGACCGCCGGTCGACCTTGATAATAAAGCGAATCGGTTTTTGTTTACAAATCAAAGTGTTTTCTGCGGGCTGTAATTCTGCACAAAATCTACTGCAAAAGCTGCCAAAATGCACAAATCATGCTGGCGGGCTATACTAAAGTTATTGGATCGATGCAATTGGGAAAACAGAAATCACTGGCGCGCTAAGCGAAATCGCATACATATTCGTACATACCTATGTATGTGTGTATGTGCATATTTACATATTTGTTTAATAATGTTGGCATTTGACTAACAAATTCTACTGGGGTCATGAGAGAAGATACTGGCAATTGCAGTTGTACGTGAAATCAGTTTACGAAACAACTGTTTATTTGCATAAATCGCTATGAGCGCCCTTCTTGTTTGTAAAACATGGTTTTGTGACGAAAGAAGGCTTCATGAATCATATAAACTTTGGTACCTGGAAATATTTGTGTGGTGGCTGTACATGCATGCATGTTTGTATGTGTTTATTTACGCATACTGACAATAAAGTCTCTACACTTGGAGTTGTAATCGCAAATCAAAATTTGCAGGCGTTCGCAGTGATATATATATGTATATGTATGCATCAATGTGAGGCACTATTTTGTAAACCGAGCGATTCCATATAGTGACTCAAACAAGTGACCACGTGTTGATATTTTTTTAATATTTCCCAAGCTATTTTTTTGTAATTTTTTTATTTAAATATTGTCCACGCAATAACAGAAACTATGTAAACTATGCAAAATTTGGAAAATTCAAAAAATGTTCACAAAAATTTCAATCTTTTTAATCTGAATCTTTAGAACATTCATGGGTTTACACTTTTATATAATTTAAATCTAATGAATTCCGAGATTCAACCGCCTCAAATATTGCTTTTATTTAAAAAAATGTCTTTTTTTGTGGCGGCTTTTGCGGTGTTTCTTAACCTCGGGTTATGCTAATCGTAAAGACCTCAATTCAAAATGGAGCGAAAAGTACCCTCTGTTTTCCCTGCATACTATACATTTTTTACTTGCTCTATTTAATTATAATAATTATTTATAAGAAAGTGCCAGAAAAAAGTTTTCATTGAAAATTCTTATCTTTGCGAGCGCTAATTTAAAAATGAATATAGATGACCAATTTTTGTTTTGTGCCGACAACAAAATTTTCATATGGGACAAAGGGAAACAAATCAACGTTTTATTTGAAACATTCTATTCTACGAACTGAAGACCAGTTACACTTTGGTTTTCCATTCAAAAAAACGATTTGCAATCTTTGTTCCGCCCACTCGGAATGTTTTTGGAAATTTTTGTGATCTTTTCGAACTTTTTTGTCGCAATTTTTAGAAGTGGTTTCGGAATTTTTTCAGGGTTTTTCGAGATTATTTCCAAAACTTGTTGGGTTTTTTCCTGGAGATTTCGGAACTTGTCATATTCTATTTCGAGGTTTTTTTGTGGTTTTACTCTTGGAAAAAGTGGCCTTTCGAGAAGTCGTGTGATCTTAACCAAAAAGTTGTACTCTGGATTTTCACAGCAGTAGTACATCAAAGCTTATATTATAGTCTCTTGGTCCGTATGGCATTCTTACGAAATCAGTGTATTCAATAAAACTAGGCAGAAGGCCATATCAGTCGAAACTATTGTGGCAAGAGAACTTGCCCTACAGAT